CAAGAATTATAATCTATTGCCGATTTAAAATTATTTTGGGACTAGATGGCCTCAGCAATTTTCCTCAATCCATTTTTGTATCTTGGGTATTTTGTACAGTAAATATTTATTATTCTTACTCCTTTGCTACTCTTCATTGCATAGGCTGAAGATGAAATAGAGGCTCGCTCTCAAGAGGCCTCTACGCTGGCAGACCTGCTCCGTCGCTATGAGGCTGGTGAGTATGGCCTTGCGGAAGCGATTTCTGAGCTCAAAGCAGCTCGTGCTGAATTAGCTGCTAGAGAGCGTCAATTGGAGGAAGTCTGTCGAGCAGCCAGTCGGGCTGAGATGGCAGTAAATGAAACTGTCGCAGAGAACGAATTTCTCCGTCGAAAGCTGAACATTGCTCCTGAAGAGCAGATTGATTTAGATGGATTCAAGCGTCAAAAAATGGCTCAACAAGAAGAAGAGCGCTCTTTGAACCTTGTACTGCAAAAAGAGGTCAGCCTCGCTACATAAAACTTTTATTGATACCTCTCAAACCAAGATTACTTATAGCTTCATAAATATAGTAATGAAAACTTTGGTACAATTTTCTCTTTCTTAAGGACCTTGTAAGTTTTCATTTCCAAGAATTTCCACTTATACGCCTATGTTATTCATGCTGTTATAGAAATCTTTGCGGCTTCTTGCTTCAAGCCTCCTTTTTTCCGTTGATCCTTTTAAGTGATTCATAAGTGGATTCATAATGGATTCAGAGCACAACAGATAGTACTTGAAGGTTCTGGGCCAAATGTTTAGTTATTCTTGATCAGTTGATAAGAAGAGTTGATTTTTACAATAAATTTCAATGTACCTTTTATGTAGAGCAAGGAATAAGGTCATAGTAGCATAAATACCTTAATAATTCTCATCTAATCGATAATACATCACTTTTTAAGGCTACATCCATCATAGGATGATGGGTTGATATTCATTTTACAGTCAAGTCAGCCTACCTTATTTTCTATGTAACTTATCGCCCTGAGTTGCATGTATTCATATTTTAACGCAATGTTATTACTTTGCTTATCTTGTGCTCAACTGAGATACCCTTGATTACATACTTTTTCACATTACGAACCCTTAGATTGAAGCCTTGGAGGACGAGCGTTTGGCATTGAAACGTCAACTACGAACTCTGGCTCGTAAGACTGGAAATGAAGCTGGGACTCGTGGAGAGTTCGTCGACGATGCTCTCATCTCTGGCTGGGGCATAAGCTGTCCAGAAGGCGAAGAGAATCTGGCTGGGTTTAATCAGAGCAACGCAATGCGTGAGGGTAGGATAACTGGTTTTCCTTATGGATGGGCAACAATTTTCATTTCTATCCAGAACCTTCTGGCTCGGTATCTCTTATTCATAACGACAAATTCTCATTAAGGAATTAAATCTATTTCACATGCACCTAAAATGGTTTGTTTTGCATTTAAATGACTTCAGAATTGCGGCATTGTCTTATTTTTCTTATGGATGCACAATACTATTATTTATGTATTCACCCAATTTTGTTTAAGGTGATGAAGGACTGGTAGAAGTAGAATTTTTCCACAAATAATATGAGTTGAGCTGACGTTTTCATTGAATTTTACATAGCTTTGCTTTTCCAAAAGTTGTTTTAATCCAGGGTGGACTGCAGTTTCGACCTCGCATTGATCTTATCAACACCCTCAGCAAGAGTCGAACCGCGGCAGTGCAGGACGGTAGCTTGACACTCTAACCACTCGGTTATACTGCCACGAGCGCCTTTTGGGTCACAAGGCAAATGTGAATTTTCAAGGAAGGCCATTACTTTTTGCCATATCATATGCTTTTTGTGGAATTGTCAATGAATCAAACGTATGTTTTGCTATAACAATCGACTACTATACTTTATTCTTCGAATTAGGTATTATTTTTTGTGACTACCAGTAGATCAGTTATAAGATGTATTCACCCGATTTCGTTTAAGGTGATGAAGGATTGGTAGAAGTATAATTTTCCCACAATGATATGAGTTGAGCTGACATTTCCATTTAATTTTACATAGCTTTGCTTTCCCAAAAGTTGTTCTCATCCTGGGTGGATTGCAGTTTCGACCTCGCATTGGTCTTATCAACATAGTCACGAAAAACAATACTTAATTCGAAAAATAAAGTATAGTAGTCGATTCTTATAGCAAACATACGTTTGCTTCATCGACAATTCCACAAAACGCATATGATATGGCAAAAAGTACTGGCCTTCCTTGAAAATTCACATTTGCCTTGTGACCCAAAAGGCGCTCGTGGCAGTGTAACCGAGTGGTTAGCGTGTCAAGCTACCGTCCTGCACTGCCGCGGTTCGACTCCCACTGAGGGTGTTGATAAGACATAGGAAAGGTCGAAACTGCAGTTCACTTCAGACTGAATGAGAACAACTTTTGGGAAAGCAAAGCTATGTAAAATTCAATGGAAACGTCAGCTCAACTCATATCCTTTGTGGGAAAATTCTACTTCTACCAGTCCTTCATCACCTTAAAAACAATTGGATGAATACATCTTATAACTGATCTACTGGTATTCACGAAAAACAATACTTAATTCGAAAAATATTATTTATGTATAATTGGTCAAGTATGGAAATTCATTAGAAAAAAGCCTGACCTTCTTTGAAATTCATATTTGCCCTGTGACCCAATGACGCTAAGGGCTGTTTGGCACGTTGGTTAAAGTGCCGAGACTATACGCTATGCAGCCACAATACAGGTTAGAGTTCCGCTTGGAGTGCTGATGAGACCTAGGCGAGATCGAGACGGCAGTTTACTACTGCCTGGACAAAAATATCCTTTTTGAAGCAGGGCTATAATGAATTCAATAAAACCGTAGGGCATATTCATATAATTGTGGTAAAAATTAAACTACTAGTCCATCCTCAACTTAACGAAATACGGTGAATACATCTCATATATATGATCTGCTAGTACTCTCAAAAACCTACTTATAAATGCTCAAGTATGCTTTCTACTTCCCCAGTTCTGAATAGACTCACCGCGGACTCGGCCTTAGCACTTCGGTGGTGAAGTGATTTAGCCGCACTCTTTATCACTTCATGGGTTTAGCACCTTTAAACTACCCCGAATCTATACCGAATTTTCACATCTATTTGGCCTTCTTAATATTATCTATCCTATAGACCTTATTTATCGTGTAGAAGTTATTTGACCTTGGTTTTGCAACTTAGTCAGATTGGTAGAAAGACTTAGAGGAACGCACCTAGTCGGCAGTCCATTGTAGGCATGATAATTTCCCGAGTTTGACCGTGGACGTGGTAAGTTCCCAGACGTTTCGCCGGCATCGTAGTTGGCATCGTCAGTGAGTCTTGCCATTTTTAGCACTACACAAATGGCCATACCATTTTGGTCTTCATACCTTAGTTACCACCACCAATTTTCTCATATCGATTTATATTAAAAGGAAAAACCGGTTTCGTTGAATCTACTTGAATTTCACAGTCAACATGACTATTCCAGTAAAGCCAATCGACAGCTGGTCGAGAGGAATCCGCCGTCGTCTTCTGGTGGAATAAACCTTCGAATCTCTTCACCAAAAACTTTCACTCGAAATGGAAATAAGCTAAACAATTATGAAACAAGAGATTCCCCAAAACTCAACTTTTCTTCACAAACATAGGAGTCATAAGAAGCAGATTTAATTTCGGATATTATGAAAATGAAATCAGGAATCTGGAGGACAACCAAAAATGGATATGTTTGCCATCCTGTGAGCTGAGACAAAAATTGCGACCTTTACTGATAAAATCGAGAAGACAATACTCTTGACCAGTCTACCGACGCAACACGAGAAGATTGACGAACAGGATTGCTCGTGAGTTAATTGCACCAAATGCGGCAACTGTGAGCAGAAGTATATTTGTGAAACAGGATAGTAAATCAGTCTACGAATCAAGGAATACTAAAAGCTCTGCAGAAACATGGTTACGAAAAGATCCGAACCAGCAGAATATATCGCACGGACGGGACAAGGAATCGACAGAAACTCTGACTGCATGTAGTGTATATACGATAAAACACAAGATCCGAGATGCCATCGATATTCTGACTGAAAGGAATCCTTTTTCGTTTTTGAGTAGGTTGTCGAGGTTACTAATAAATCAGAAATTTGCTCGGTTCACATGCGGCGCAGTGATAAGAGAACCTGTAGCATCCAGTTATTTTTCCGTGCTACTTGATAATCCAGACTTTTGGGGCTTGCTCAGTGAGGGTGGAGGACAAGTTCTATCAAAGACTTGAGGCAGAGTGTAGAACATAACGCCTCGAGTAGTAGTAGAGTGGGAGTGATGAAGTGAAATCACTGAACCAGGCAGAGAAGAGACAGATTCTACGGAGCAGGAAGGAGACTGATAAGGCCTGGAAGAAGATTGCAGTTTAAACTGCAGCCTTGGGTCACACTCCCAGCACAAGGGGCGTATGTGTGTGGGAACATACGAGGAGTGTGAATAGGTCTCAACTAGGTTTAGATAAACAAGTAAGAAATTGTGATAGTGAAGAGGTGATACGAGGATGTAGGATAGGTGAATAGTCCAGGACAGAGGGAGAGATACCACGACTGTTTAGCAGACAACTGGTAAAAGCATCGACTTTGTCTCTCTGACGAGTTGTGATGTGGTGCTTAGAGGACAAGGCTCACTGACAATGCTGGTGAAACATATGAGAATGTATCAAGTCTGCGGTCAGACTCTGGGAATTATCATGCCTGCTATGGATTCCGGACTAAGTGCGTCCCTCTGGGTGCTGTTGTCATTAGGCCAAGTTTCAAAAACAAGGTCAAATAACTTTATGCGTCAGTTTATTTAAATAAAGAAAAGCTGTGACCACGTCGGCTCCACTTCTTGCATCAACTTCACTCGTATACATGCATGTAGGACAGGCATAAGGCAGCCAACAAATGCGTGGAATGTGATTTGTTTTCACCCTATTTTGTTTAAGGGTATGATATGAGTAGAGTTGATGTTTTCCATATGAACCAAGGACACTTGTTGCAATGTGGCGTAGTGGCCAACGTGTCGAGCTTACAGGCTGCACTGTCATGATTCGACTCCCGCTTGTGGTTTTGAAAAGAACTATGCGAGGTCGAAACTGTAGTTCACTCCACCTTTGGGAAAGCAAGGTTATGCGAAATTCAATGAAAAACATCAGCTTTACTCATATGCCTTTGGGAAAATTCAACTATCAGTCCTTTGTCAACTTAAACGAAATAGGATGAAAGCAACTCATATATCTGATTTACTGGTATTCTCAAAAACCATAATTACTCACGAAAAAATCGTGGAATGCCTCATTATGATCGCAAAGTGAAGTATAAAGAGTGAGTAGAATTTTAGCAGGCCACCTTAATTTTCTTTGGTGATTGCTTGTAAATGATGGTTTCTTGCTCTAAAATATCCTATAAATGAGGAATGAAGGCTCAGCACGGATTCATTGGGATAGCAGGACGGTGAGCATACTGCATATCGCATTAATCATAAGTCCCATATAACTCACTTTCAGTATCTGGTATGGAAAATTTACGAATCCTTTCTACCCGCCTTTACATGGGAAATGAAAAATATCCCTGCCTCAATCTATTAAGGGACTTTTTGAAATCCAGCTCCTCTTCATTTCTCATCAGTTCATTATGGATAAAGTCTCTCTTCATTGAGACTGGTAGACCTCTTAGCTAGTTTGTTCTTTCTTTAGCCTCTGAATCTATCAATTTGCTTGGCCCAACCATAAGTTGTACCGTCTTCATCGTCAAGAGCTGGGCACAAAGAGTATCGGCCTTTTCTGGGTCGTATTTAGGTTCTTCGAAGTGTACCAAATGGTTTTAGTACACCACTTTTCTAGTCGTATTCCCTGGGCGGCCTTAAGGAATGCGCCTTGTCCAGAGTCATCTGCCATAGTATATACAATAAATTCCAGCAAAGGACGGTGGAATGGAGCAATTTGTCTCTTTGACGATATGTAGTTTGGTCCTGAAGGTGACTATGATGCTGGCGAAGCGCTGAATAATGTTATAATTCTACTTTCCAACAATTGTAAATTATCAGGACTGCTTTGACAGATGATTCCGGGCAAAGTGTGTTTATCTAGATCACCCTGACAACACAAACAAGTGGTAAAACGGTGGGCAAACTACTTCTAAACAGTAACCAAAATAGGAATACCATCTTGGTTTTTATATCTTCGAGTAAACAGCAGATTATCATGTGAAGAAAGGCATGACTTTGAAGAATTTTTTAAAAATTTATCGTGACACCTCTTCATTTAGAGGGAAGAGTCATATCATAGCAGACTCTCATATTTATCATGACATGCCTTTGTTTTTTACTTCAAATCATGTCTCAGAATTCGTTCGTGTGACGCGAGTTCGAGGAGATGCCGCTTCCTTCAATGGAGCTAAGGGTCTGCCCAATTCGCTTGCCCAAGATGGTGAATACCTTCACGATATTCCAGAGACAATAAAGGCTCGGGTGACTACTTCCTTATTCTAGATACTATCTAATCGTTCTTGAGCTATACTTTGATGTTGACGACAAATGGCACGACAGTGTATTGTCATCCTTTTTTGCCAAGAAAATGATAAGGCTCACCATTGGGCTATTATTTACATTGTTAGGGGGACCTTCATTTTCGTATGAAAGTGCATGAAGAAGGGATTCGTTGGTCGATCTCACCAGATAATGACGGATGAATCTCGTTGT